AAAATTGAACATAATCAGTCAAAACAGTCAGACATATGGGTCTGGAAACCCATTCATTAAAACAAAATGGCCGCCAGACAGCCATTTTGAATCTGATCTGAAAAATAAAAGGATGTGCATCAGGAACTCGTAATGTCTAATGTATGTACCAAGTTTGAACGAAATCCATCCATAAATGCCAGAAACGCTTGATATAAGATGATTTTTTAGCACAAAAATAGCCACCATTCGGCCATTTTGAATAGGATCGTCAAACCAATATATCTGTCTATCTATGACATGATGTATAATGAATAGTTTAATAAATGTAATATTTTGTGTTGTATGTCTATATGTATGAAACGAAATAAAAATATTGTTTAAATAAAAAAAAAAATAATGAATATTTAAAATTAAACATAATCAGTGAAAGCAAGTCAGACATATGGCACGAGAACAACATTCATTAAAACAAAATGGCCGCCAGTCGGCCATTTTGAATCTAATCTGAAAAACAAAATTATTTGCATCAAGGTCCCATAATGTCTAATGTATATACCAAGTTTGAACAAAATCCATCTGTAAACAGCTGAGAAATGCTTGATTTTTATGATTTTTTAGCACAAAAATGGCCGCCATTCGGCCATCTTGAATCAGATTGTAAAACAAAATGATGTGCATCAAGTTCCTATAATGTCCAATGTATATACAAGGTTTGAACAAAATCCATCTGTAAACAGCCGGGAAATGCTTGATTTTGATGATTTTTTTAGCACAAAAATGGCCGCCATTCGGCCATCTTGAATCAGATCGTGAAACAAATTGACGTGCATATGTATAATATCATGTATGATGTATGTGTGAAGTTTGATTGTGATTGGTCCAGGCATTTTTAAGATACAGGTCCGGACGCACGCACGGACACACAGAGGTCAAAACACAAGTCCCCGTTTTCGGACTGCGTCCGAACGGGGACTAATAAAATGTCATGATACTGTCATCATTATCGTTCATAACATCTGCATATTTTGTTCAGTGATATGGGATGAAAAAGTCATATATTATTATTGACATGACATCTAAAAAAAATTATTTCAAAAAAATTACGTAATTTAGTGAGTTTCCAGAATGATATTAGTATTCCATTATATAGTATAGTATAGTATATTTTATTTGACACAAAATAATATATTTAGGTACATTATCTGTGGTCAAAAGATATTAATAAAACACAAGTACACACACAAAAGAAAAGAAAATACATAAAAGACTATATAGAATGGAAAGTTATCTCCCATACTGCATTGCATATACAGTAAAACCTGTCAAAACCGACCCCTGGATAAACCGACCTACTGTCAGAACCGACCGATTTATGTAGCCCCGAAATTTCTCCATAGACGCCTATGTTAAAACAACCTGTGAAATCCGACCACTGTTTACTCCGAACACCGACCGCATTGATCGGTTCCAAGTCCAATATTCACACTGAATACATCGACCATCCGACCATT